TCAATATATGCTTTCTGAGACATCCTGAAAATTCCGAGTGATCTATCACGGAATAATTCTATTCCTATCACATAGGATGCTTCATCCATATCTTTCATGTCAAAGTTCTTAGACAGTTAGCTCTTGGTCTCATGTAGAAGGCCAAGATCGCTACTGGCTAATAAGATATCATCAATATACAGTATCAAAAATATGAACTTACTCCCACTAATCTTGAGGTATACACATGGATCAACAATATTTTCTTTGAAACCAAATTTCGTAATAGTTTCATAGAATTTGAGATACCATTGTCTAGAAGCTTGTTTCAGTCCATATATTGATTTCTTAAGTTTGCAGAACATGTCTTCCTGACCTTCAATTACGAAGCCTTCAGGTTGAGGCATATATACTTCTTCGTCCAAGTCTCCATTAAGAAAGCCGGTTTTAACATCCATTTGATGTAACTCAAGATCATAATGTGCTACGAGTGCCAAAATAATTCTCAAAGACTCTTTTCTGGACACAGGGGAAAAGGTCTCTGTATAGTCAATACCTTCTTTCTGATTAAAACCTTTGGCTACAAGTCTAGCTTTACGTCGTTCAATACTACCATTTTGGTCATATTTGGTCTTATAACCCATTTATTTCCTACCACCTTGTGTCCTGGAGGCAAAGGAACGACATCCCAAACTTCATTTTTTACCATAGATTTCATTTCATCCTTCATGGCATTGTTCCAACTATTGGAATTAATATCGTTAATAGCTTGTTTGTATGAAATCGGGTCTTTAAGAATTCAAATATTAGATTTCACATGGTAAAGCCAATATTCCTCGGAAATAGACGATCTCCTCTCATGAGTTGATCTCCTTAATTCTGGTTCCTCAGGTGTTTTACCCATATGATCATTATTGGCTAGAATCTCATTATGGGATTGTGAATCATTAGTTGAGTGTTCGACAACTGGAACATTCTCAACTATACTTGGAATTAGGGGTAAAGATAAAGTGATCGGTACCCTTACTTCCTGAATGTTCACATCTTGTACTTTTTCACTCCCATTAGTTTTGCCATTCTCATAGAATCTAACATTTCCGGTTTCAACTATTCTCGTACTATGGTTAGGACAATAGATAATATATCCTTTGGACTTCTCTGGGTAGCCAATAAAATAGCCACTAATCGTTCTGAAGTCCAATTTCTTTTCATGTGGGTTGTAAATTCGTGCCTCAACTGGGTTTTAAACTAGGTTTCCAACCTTTCCACAGTTCAAAAGGAGTCTTTGGAACTGCCTTACTAGGAAATGTAAACAACTGTGCGTAAGGCATATGTCCACAATGATTTTGGTAAGTCAGCATGACTCATCATTGATCTAACCATTTCCATATATGTACGATTTCACCTTTCAGCTACACCATTTTTCCATGGAGAACCATGCATTGTGTATTGGGCTACAATTCCAAGTTTTTGTAGAAGTCGTGCAAAAGGTCCAGGATGTTGTCCTGTTTCATCATACCTTCCATAATATTCACCACCTCTATCTGACCTTATGATTTTCACTTTTCTATCTAATTGTCTTTCAACTTCAGTTATGAAAGTTTGGACAACTTCCACCGACTGAGATTTGTCATGCAATAAATAGAGATAACAATATCGTGAGAAATCATCGATAAAAGTGATGAAATATTTTTCACCACCAAAACTTGGAATGTCAAAAGGTCCACAAATATCTGTATGTATTATTTCAAGAAGCTGTGTACTTCTTATGGCTCATTTCTTTGTGTGTTTTGTTTGTTTTCCTTTAATACAATCCACACATACTTCATGATTGGTAACATTAATATCTGGAAGAATTCCATCTTTTACTAATCGTTTTACTCGTTCACTGGAAATGTGACCCAACCTTTTATGCCACAAGTAATATGAATCACATTTTAATGATTCACATTTTGATTTGTCATTGGTACGCAGGGTGAGATGGGTCTCTGAAATTTGACTAGCAAGATTAAATCTATAAAGTCCATGAATTAAAATTCCAGAACCAATATGGCTAGAATTTAAAAATAAATTGAAACAACCATCTCCATGATTAACTTTAAAACCACAAACATCAAGCTTACTACCGAAACTAAATTCCGGGAAATAGTTGGAACATAAAGAGTGAAATAAATCTAACTCAAATCCACTATCTAATTTTAGACGATAAGTGCCAATCGCTTCAACTGGTACTTTGTCACGATTTCCCATGAATAAGAAGTTTTCACTTGGGTTTATGGTTTGGGTTATAATGAATCCTTGTATAGAGTTTGAAACATGAACATTAGCACTGGAATCAATCCACCAAGTATGAGAAGGAACATAAGAAAAGTTTGTTTCGAAAAAGGTTACGGAACCCATTGGGTTACCTTTCTTTTCGAACCATTCCTTTCGTTTCCAACAATCTTTTTGAAAATGTCCAGATTTCTTGCAAAATTTGCACAAGTCATCCTTCTTTCTTTTCTTCTCATTTGGTTTATTGATGTCATTTGGCTTAGGCGGTGCTCTTTTATGGCTTAAGTTGTGCATGTTCCCAGCTTTAGATCCAGCTCCTTGGATAAGATGTGCAACCTTAATACCTAGTTGTTTCAACCTACTCTCCTCTTGGATCAATTTACTTGCCAATTCATTTACTGTCTACTTCTCCTTAATGGCATTGTAATGAATTTGGAAAGGTTCATACTGAGGAGGTAATGAATTTAGAATGAATTGCAGCAAGGTTCGTCATCTCAATACAATGATCATGCATCGAGCGTGTGCCATCAAATTTCATAGTTGTAAGATCTGCCATAAGTTTCCATGCAAGGGATTTGTCTGCAGTCTTAAATCGTTCTTCTATTGCTTTTAAGTATTCTTTAGCAGTTGTTGGAACAGGTAGGGAGGTTTTGATGTTGCTAGCAATTGTCATACGTAAAAACATAAACACTCAATCTGTCAGACTTCTCCCAAGCTTTAAAGAGAGTCTTTTCATCATCCGTACTTGTATTGGTAATAGAAGGTGGCTTGTCAATGGTAAGAGCCATATCCAAATCAAGTACTCCCAAGGTGAATTCAACATTCTCTTTCCATTCTGAGAAGCTAGTTCCCGTGAGAAGTGGAACATATGAGACAGAAGATGACAAATGCTTTGGAAACATTGCTGCAATTATAGAGATATAATATATTTAAATGAGACATTTACAATACATGAACAACACATATAAAGTTTGAGAATATATGAAATAAAATTATAGTGTACCTGTGAGTTATCACTATATATATTCTCAATAATATCATTATAGCCGTAATTATTAGCTAAAAAAATTGAGTAATATATCAACTTTAGACAAAAAAAAAATACAAGAAATTTGTGGATTTTCTTCATTTTCATTATACATTACTCCTTTATTATTGTTAAGCCAAAAAAACTATATTTATCATAATACATGTCTCTAATATACATACAAAATCATGAAATGTATGTAAAAGACGTGTGGGTAAAAAAAAATTGTCAATAACAATTGAGCTTTGGAAAGATGTTTCTCCTAAATTGTATATATCGTAATTCAAGGATTGTCATGTTATTCATAACCTAAGCTCTGATACCACATGTAAACCTTGAATTTACATGAAACCCTAAGATCGATAGAACAACATGATAATCACATGAAATAGAAAAGAGATTAGAAGAATACCTCCTTCCATGGTGATTGAGAGAGAGCTTATGAAGAAGTAGCAATGTTGAATTTTGGGATTCTCTCTCCTAGCCTATAAGTCACTTGATATATGTGTTTCTTATGATATGCTATTGTGATGGTCCAAAGCATACAATTTATAGGTGGAGAGAGGACCAAAATTCCTATTAAGTTTTATCTTTACACTTCATCTCAACCATCCATCATGGAAGAGTTATGTTCCTATTGTAACTCTTCCATGATGGATGGTTGAGATGAATAGGAACATAACTCTTTGGAGTTATTAATCTTTGATAACTCCTTATTCTTATAACCAATTGAATCAATGTAACACTCCTATTCCTTTCATAACTCATGGGTTGCATAATAGATCATATTAAGGATGAGATAACTCTCCTGCACTAAAAGTTATCTTACATGAGTGTCTAGAATCATATTCGAGGATTGGCAATGAATCATTTAATCATTCATTTGCAACTCGAAACCTAACTTCTAACCCTTTTCGATACATCTTATTTGTTGCTTTGATTTTCATTCTAGTTATACTTATGACATTGATTACTGTTAATCTCTTGACGAGGATCGAGCCATTAGTATCGACGGACAACCAATTTTGTGAGAAACAAATGGAGTTAGAACTTAGAAGGGGGTCAACTGATTGGGGAAACAAGAAAGAAATTTTCATTGACTACATACATAAAACAAATATGGTTGGCAGATAAGTAATTAAGAATGGTTGACAAATTTTTTTATTCAATAAATTGTAAATCAAATTTAACTAGTACCGGAAAGGAAAAGGAATTGAAACAAATAAAAGGAACAGGAAGAGTTAAAATAATCTTGTTTTCCTTCTTTTTTGGACAAATCATCCACGCGCTTAATGGTTGTTAAGTGATGGAAGAAAATGACAGCTTGTGATTCGCTGTTCCCGCCGGTGACGGTGGCTGGCTGGCACTCCGCGGCCACCCTTCGTCGTCTTCACATGAACTGACGGTGGAAGAAAATCTGAAAATGAAAGAAACGGGTTTGGACCTTTCTAGGATATATTCCACTCCCCACAATTAAAATTGGATGGTCTTGCCGGCTGCCCAAGCAACAAGCCCATTTAGGCCCAATAGCAAGGAGGGAGAAACGAACGAGTAAGAGAGCGATGACTCATAATATTTATTTCTGAAAAGCTAAACGTCGCCCTAGTTTTACTATTATTGCCCTAACTTAAAACGTCAACTTACCAAATTGTCCTTTATTAATCAAAACCAAAATAAAATAAATAAAATCTTAAAACTCCTTATCACCACCGACCTCCTCTCCGACACTCTTTGCGGCGATACTCCCTCCTGCAAACCACCACCGTTCCTTCTACTCACCGTCGCCTGCACCCGTCTCCCTGATTCACTAGCGGAACCATCCACCCAACCACAGAAGGACACGCCATGGAAGGTGACAACCTCCAAACCAAATTCCCAGAATCGATCACTCCCCTGTTCTCTGAGTCTCCCACAACCCTGACTAGATCTGCGTAGGATCCTAATATAATAGGAAGCGGGTTGGACGATGATGCAATAGTGGAAGCGGCCGGCCCGATTGCATTGTTCTCGATCAAGTTACCTAGTTCGATTGACATGGTGGCCGCCGACGGGTGTGTAGCTTCTTGGGTGAGCGATTTCTGGGTCAGGGTCGGCTATGGATGGCTTCTTTATGTTGGCCATTTTATGGGTTTGTCAACTGCTGGAGTTTCCTCTCAAGGGCCTTTACCGCAGGAACACATTTAGATTCGCTCATAGTGAAAGCAATCTCTACAAAGGATTCTATGTGGGTGTCGATTATATTTTGTAGAGTGATGAAAGTCAAGTCTTTTCTTAGGCCAGAGGGAAGAATCGAAAGGAGAACTGGAGAACTCGGTTGTGGGCAACATCAAGGCAATAGGTTGCACAATGAAAACATTTATTTCATATGCAAAGTAACTGGAAGGGCAAATCTACCTATTAGAGATGTATCATCACAAAAACCAAACAAACAGGAGACCATCTCAATACAATCCAAGTTCATACAAAGGAGGAGCAAACAAGAACAATGTGGTTCTGAGTATAACCCACAATACTTGTGATAGCAATAGATAGTAGTGGTATCCGCCCGTCATGAGGGGTTCTTTCTGCAGTCACTTAACAAACTTAGCAAACCACTCCAATGCATCATTTTGATCCTCCTCAACAGCCTTCACCGCAGCTTCATCTTCAATGTTGTACCTCACAGTCCATCCATTAGAAACTCCAGGGAAAATCTTCACAAACGCGTCGACCTTTGGAAAAGCAAAAGGTAAGAAACACAGGGAAAACATCAGTAGCTCCACACCCAGAAATATATAACAGTTAAAAAGTTACCAACCATAACTTCTTCCTTACCCCAGGCTTAGCAGCAAGGATCGCTTCGAACGGTTTGAGGAGAGCTGGCGGAGACATCTGGTCAATCTCAGCTCCTAGTATTGCCAAGGGGATCTTCACCTCTGCAGAGTTTTAAGGAACATTTAGCTTAATTGTGACTACAAATAGCAAAATAGTAAGCCGTTGCATTCTGCAGGGGGAAATAACTGATCTGATCAATCTCCGACCTTTTATATCGTCTACCATGACAAATGAAGGATGGCAGAACACCCCGGCCTTGATGTTGTTGTCTTATTTTGCAAGTTCAACCACAACCTTGGCTGAGACAAAATGGAGAGAAGTAACACAAAGTACTTAGCTTGTTCAAAGATCACAATTCGCAACAAATGAATAGAATGGTGGATTTATTCTATAAGCAGTAGTATCTAATATCATACCACCCCAGCAAAAACCAATAGCTCCAATTGCAGTGACGCCTTTACTTTTCAGGCTCTCGATGACAGGCTTGACATCTTCGAATCCCTTAGCCTGCGTACGAAAGAAAGGGCAGCCAAGCAAAAGCATGGACATTGACAAGTTGCAAGTGGTTCTTTCAAGATGAGCAAATTAGGGTTATGAAAAAGCAGATGGTTAGAACTAACCGGTCCATGATCTTGTAACTAGATTTTCATGGTCCTCTCTGCGTTACCAGGAACTTAAGGATCTCCATAGAAGAAGTCAGGAACAACCACATAGTACCCAGCAGCTGCAACCTTGTCTGCAAACTTCCTTCAATTGAAACAACTCTGAAATCAGGAAACCATCGAAAGCACCAAAAACAAAGAGAACAACCACTACTTCCACAAAAAGACTCCATACATATGCGAAGATTATCCATTATTGGGAGTCTATTTGTTGTAAAATGCAAACAAGACCAATTGGATATAGAGGACAAACATACCTCAAATTCGGAGCATCATATCTTGCAAGATAAATCAAGACCCAAAGACACAGAAACCCTCGTCAACCGAATGCAGAGCTGGGAAATAGAGGACAGAAAAAGAGGAGGGGGATAGACGTACGTACCAAAGATATCAGAGACGAAAACAATGGCGGATTGGAATCAGGAGAGCCGGCGACATAGGAATCGAGGCCAGCCACTTTCTCAGTTTCTCTAGATGCCCAAGCCCAGCTCCACTTGCTGAGTTCAAAGTTGGATGATTTTCACAGCATTGAGGCCCTATCAGGGGAAAACGAGGGATTTTCACCCCATTTGAATCCTGCAACGGTCGACAGCACAGGAGCAGGGGAGAAGAAGACGACACCAAACAACACGGGGTTGCTTAAAACGGAAGTGAAGAAGAGGTCTTGGAGTGATGTCGTTTCTGGCAAAGTGCCAAGTAGTACCTGAACTTGTCATTTGTAATTTTTTCCCTTTCCGGGCTGTCCTTTCTTTCCTTGCAAGATTTGTCTTCTTTCTTGAAATGTAAGCAACACCAGAGAGATTTGTACTATTCTATCCAGCTATATAAGCTGTGATTTCTAATGAGAAAAGCAAGAGAAGACTTAGGGTTTCTCCTCACAAATCTGTTGACATGGTATCAGAGCTGGTTTGTCCTTGAGGTCACGTGTTCAAGTCCTCACGACCCCCAATATTAACCGTTGTCTTTCAAGCACATGGTTTGGCGGGCCCGTGCAAACTTCAAACCCATGAGTCGGCTTTCGTTTGAGGGGGCGTGTAAGGAAGTGGTTAAGTACCATACATGGGCCTGTATAAGATCCAACAGAAGCTTCTCCCAACAACTCGAGTTATTGGGATCAACTGGTTCTTAACATGGTATCAGAGCCTCTATAAACCCTAGCCGCCGCCGCAATGGCTGCCAATCCCCAGCCCAACGATCCACTCAACAACGCTGCAAATGAAGCTGCAAATGCTGTTGTTGTCAATCCTCCTGCTGATCCCATGGCAGACCCCTATTATCTCCATGGCTCTGAACAACCAGTGTTGTTGTTAGTGGGTGAGAAACTTACCCCCGCCAACTACAATGATTGGAGTCAGGCCATGCTGAATGCTTTGAGAGCCAAGAACAAGCTTGGGTTCATCAATGGTTCCATTCCTCATCCAGGCGCAGATCATCCAAATGCTTGGGCTTGGAACAGGAACAATGTCATGGTTCTCTCATGGATCCAGCAGGCTGTTGAAGCAACCATCAGGAAGATCATTATGTCGTGCAAAACTTCCCTTGAAGCATGGCACCGTCTCAGATCTCGTTATGGTCAAGGTGATGTGGTAAGGATTGCTGAACTTACTGAATCTCTAAGCACTCTCAAACAGGTATCCAGTCAGTAAATGAGTATTATGGAAACATCATTGCAATTCGAGATGAATTAGACAACTACCAGCCCCTTGAGCATTGTACCTGCACACCAACAAGTAGAGAAACATGTGCTGCTATGAGATTGGTATTTGCATACAGGGACACAAATTATGTCATCCAATTCCTGAGAGGATTGAATGAGCACTTCTCCAGTGTCAGATCCCAATTCCTTTTTGGTGATGATCTGCCATTCATAGATCGAGTCTTCCAGAGGATGCTGCAGTATGAAAGACAGCAGAATGGCACACTGCCTTCAAAAGTTCTCTCAGCAGAAGCAACGACTCTTGCAGCTCAGACCAGCAAGAATGCTCAAATCAGAAGGTCACGCCCTTATTGCACTCATTGCAAGTTCTTAGGCCACACAGAAGAGACTTGCTACCATAAGCATGGCTGGCCCCAGGGATGAATACCAGATCCTCCAATCCATCTGGCAAACCACTTGAGTGTACTTTCTGCAAGAAACAAGGTCATACAGAGGACAAAATGTTTCAGCAAACATGGCTATCCAAACCCAAGAAGACCCCCACGCAACAAACATCAAGTGAACACAACCAGTTCAGAAGATCTACACCAAGAGGTGAAGTTCACCAAGGCAGATTACATGAAACTGATGTCCCTCATGAATGACAAAGGTAATCCAAGGCCTTCCACCAGTGCAATTCTCCCTTCACTGCTGCTACTTTCACCACCAAACCAGCAAACTCCCCAAGTAAATTTCTGCTTAATGTGAGTGACAAAACACCACATTACCAAACCTGGATTCTTGACACTGGAGCTTCTGACCACATAGTTTGTTCCCTTAGCTATTTGACAAACTACAGAAGCATAAACAACATCTTCATTACCCTGCCAGCAGAAGATAAAGTACAAGCAACACACATAGGCACTGTCACCTGTGTTGTTGGGCTAATTTTACATGAAGCCTTATTTGTTCCTCAATTCAACTTCAATCTGATCTCTGTCGGTCAACTGACCAAAGACAAATCTCTTTGCCTTACCTTCTTTTCCAATGTCTGCTTGATCTAGGATATGCAAATGAGGAGGATGACTGGTTCTGCTAAGCTCTCCTCTGGCCTTTACCACCTTGAGACCCATGTAGATACCAACTCACCAAAACTCATCTCAGCTGCCAGCACACAAGCCTTTGATATCTGGCACCATAGATTAGGCCATGTCTCTCATTCAAAAGTGCCCCTTTTGCAAACATTTTGTCCACAGATACATACAAACAGCTCTATAGCCTGTGATGTCTGTCATTTTGCTAGGAAGAAGAGAATTCCATTTTCTTCCAGTACTTCTGTAACCAAACAAGTTTTTGACTTGCTACATGTTGACATATGGGGACCAAATCATGTCCCTAGTTATGATGGTTTCAAGTATTTTCTCACAATTGTTGATGATTACGGTAGGATGACTTGGTTAATCCTTTTACAAACTAAATCAGAAGCCAGACCACAACTTTAAGCTTTCTGTTCCTATGCAGAAAGACAATTTCAAACCAAAGTCAAAAGAATTAGGAGTGACCAGGGTAAAGAATTCATCATGACTGATTTCTTTAACCAAACTGGCATCCTTCATGAGTTGAGCTGTGTTGAGACTCCTCAACAAAATAGCCAAGTAGAGAGGAAGCATCAGCATATTCTAGCTGTTTCCAGGGCCCTCAAATTTCAGGCCAATCTTCCTCCTGCTTTTTGGGGAGACTGTGTCAAACATTCAGTCTACTTAATCAACAGGGTTCCCACTCTTGTTCTTGGAATCAAGCACCATATAAAAAACTCCACAATGAACCACCAGACCTGGCTGATCTCGGAGTCTTTGCATGCTTATGTTTTGCTAGTACCCTAGCCAATCACATAGGGAAGTTTGAGCCTAGAGATAGGAAAGGAGTATTCATTGGTTTTTAAAATGGAATGAAGGGTTACAAAATTTATGACCTTCTCACTCATGATGTTTTTGTATCCAGAGATGTTCAGTTTCATGAACACATATTCTCTTTTCACAATCCTACCCCAAACCAAAACCCAGCCTACTCAACTCCCTCTGATCCAGCCTTATTTGATGACTCAAGTCCATCTTACCCTCCTTCTCCAACTCCAACTGACCCTTCCCCACCTATTATGGATCATCACTTTGAAACATAGTTAGTAAAATACGGTACGGGAATGTTACGTATAAAATACGTACGGGTATTTTACTTCGTCTGTATGCTAATGTTACGTTTAATAGTACGTTAATTTTCATAAATATAGAAAAATTAAGCATTTTAAAAATAAATAAATATATAAATAATAGTAAAGTTAGTAATTTAATTCATTAAATACGGATATTAAACGTGTTATACGGGTTTTATACGTGTTTAATACGGGAGCCATCAAATGAACGGACAAAAATGAAACGGCTTGACAATAATACGGATACGGAAGTTTTAAACGGATAAAGTACGTACGGGTACATATACGTGTATTAAACGGAGTATTTACTAACTATGCTTTGAAACAGATACTGAAGATGACTCCAATCAGGAGTCCCCTTCTCCTACACCAACACCACCGCAAACAGACCCTATCCCTGTCCACAAATCCACTAGAACCATCAAACGACCTTCCCACCTACAACAATATCATTGTAACCTGCTTCAGCAGCATTCTTCAACCAGTCATCCCAATCAGTTAGCATCTCCAGGTATGAAGCATTCACTATCATCAGTCATTGACTATTATACTTTATCTCCTAATCACAAACATTTTGTTCTGAGCATTTCATAACTTAAAGAGCCAGAATCATACAAGGAAGCCATTCTGTTTCCAGAATGGAATGATGCAATGACAACTGAAACAAAGGCTTTGGAAGGCAACCAAACTTGGGATGTGGTTGAACTCCCACTTGGGAAGAAAGCAGTGGGGAACAAGTGGGTCTATAAAAACAAGCATTTGGCATATGGTAGTTTGGAAAGACAGAAAGCAAGACTTGTAGCAAAAGGGTACAGTTAACAGGAAGGAGTGGATTATCAGGACACTTTTGCTCCTGTAGTGAAAATGACCACTATCAGACTGTTCCTAGCTATTGCTCCATCTCAGAATTGGCATATCCAACAATTAGATGTCAATAACGCCTTTCTAGTTTCTACATGGCGATCTGGATCAGGAGGTTTACATGAAACTCCCACATGGCTACATTCCCCCTCTAGGTTTCAAAAATCCAGTCTGCCGCCTCAAAAAATCCATCTATGGGCTAAAACAAGCATCAAGGCAGTGGTTCACAAAACTGGCAACCAAACTGCAATAACAAGGCTACTCTCCAAGCAAAGTGGATCACTCAATCTTCTACAAATCCACAGGTTCCTCCTACACCTGTATATTGGTTTATGTGGATGATT